TTATTTATTATTCGAATTTTGGAATTTTTCTACCACGTTGATTGTGATTTTGTCGCTAGACATTTTTAGAGGATAACGAATATTAAAATTAAGTATGTTCTCAGTTTTGTATTTATAATGACAGAATAATCCTTACATTTCAAGCAAATCGTATGTTTCCGAAAATCATTTAATCGTTTGCACATATGAATATTCATAGAGCGCTCAATTACTAAACTAATATTAAGATTGTATTTCATTTGTCAATGTATTATATATTATGATAGGCAATATATTACTGAAAAAGAAACATAGAAGAAAGAAGTCAAATTATAATTTGATAAGGTAGGAAACAAAAGTACGTAAATTCACAACGACGACGACGACGACGACGACGACGACGACGACGACGACGACGACGACGACGACGACGACGACGACGACGACGACGACGACGACGACGACGACGACGACGACGACGACGACGACGACGACGACGACGACGACGACGACGACGACGACGACGACGACGACGACGACGACGACGACGACGACGACGACGACGACGACGACGACGACGACGACGACGACGACGACGACGACGACGACGACGACGACGACGACGACGACGACGACGACGACGACGACGACGACGACGACGACGACGACGACGACGACGACGACGACGACGACGACGACGACGACGACGACGACGACGACGACGACGACGACGACGACGACGACGACGACGACGACGACGACGACGACGACGACGACGACGACGACGACGACGACGACGACGACGACGACGACGACGACGACGACGACGACGACGACGACGACGACGACGACGACGACGACGACGACGACGACGACGACGACGACGACGACGACGACGACGACGACGACGACGACGACGACGACGACGACGACGACGACGACGACGACGACGACGACGACGACGACGACAACGCACCTATATGCTTCATATTACGCTCATTTTCGTGCTAGCATTCGTAAATCGTGCAAGTAAATCATTCACAACAAGTTAATCTGTACAGCTAAGTCAACAAAGACAGAGAAAAAAAACAAAACAAAACAAAAAAAAAATAAAGAATAAGAGAGAGAGAGTATATATATATATATATATATATATATATATATATATATATATATATGTGTGTGTGTGTGTGTGTGTGATAACACGTGTAGCGTCTAACTTAGTTGATTTTTCATTTATGACCATTTAAATTCTTAAGATTTTTATGTTCACGATTTTTTAGCTTGTCTTTCTATTCTCATGCACTCACTCGTTCGTTCAATCATCGCTTACATAGTTTTATATGCAATATTTATAATATATAATTCATCTTCGCTATATCACACATCGCGCGCACGCTGTAGGATTCGTCATTGTTCTCCTCTCCGTTTGATTCTTAAAATTACATGATTCCTTCGAAGAGGCCAAATGGACAAGTTGAAGCTAGGAAGTAAATGCAGGAGAAATTCTACCCAGCGCTTACTTACAATATGTATAGGACCGCAGCGGCGCGCGAAAGGGTAAACAACACTTCCCGTAGCACTGCGCTCGTGTGCTAATTTAATTTTTTTTTCGCTTCCTGCATCTTAAAGGATCGATTATACATGATATACTTTGTGATATAAGATGAGGACTACACAGTATCTATCCCCTAATCAGAAACTCACGAGATACAGAAGTTCTTCGTTCGCAGTCGCATGTCCCTTTTTTCTTTTATTGCACTTATAAGGTAGTAGTAGTGGTAGAAGTGGTGGTGGTAGTAGTAGTAGTAGTAGTAATAGTAGTAGTAGTAGTAGTAGTAGTAGTAGTAGTAGCAGCAGTAGTAGTAGTAGTAGTAGCAGTAGTAGCAGCAGTAGTAGTAGTAGTAGTAGCAGTAGTAGCAGCAGTAGTAGTAGTAGTAGTAGCAGTAGTAGCAGCAGTAGTAGTAGTAGTAGTAGCAGTAGTAGCAGCAGTAGTAGTAGTAGTAGTAGCAGTAGTAGCAGCAGTAGTAGTAGTAGTAGTAGCAGTAGTAGCAGCAGTAGTAGTAGTAGTAGTAGCAGTAGTAGCAGCAGTAGTAGTAGTAGTAGTAGCAGTAGTAGCAGCAGTAGTAGTAGTAGTAGTAGCAGTAGTAGCAGCAGTAGTAGTAGTAGTAGTAGCAGTAGTAGCAGCAGTAGTAGTAGTAGTAGTAGCAGTAGTAGCAGCAGTAGTAGTAGTAGTAGTAGCAGTAGTAGCAGCAGTAGTAGTAGTAGTAGTAGCAGTAGTAGCAGCAGTAGTAGTAGTAGTAGTAGCAGTAGTAGACTTCGACTTAAGATCAAGTAAGGCCCTGAAGATGCCCTAAGTGCGCGCGATTATTTATACGTCTAAAAGAGAATTTATTCGTGTAACTTTCGGGGTTCGTCGTAGGGTGCCACTATTAGGTTGAGCATCCAATCTGCTTCAAACGTATTTACAGAGAAAAGCTTCCTCGACATTTTTCTTCGCATACTTTCCTGGCCCTATCTTTTTGAATTGCCACTACTATACGAGGCGACACCTTCCATGATATGACTACGAGCGATTAGACGTACAAGTTTTACTTTGTAATATGCGACATACAATATCTCTCTCTCTCTCTCTCTCTCTCACTCGCTCGCTCTCTCGCTCTCCTGCTCTCTCTCTCTCTCTCTCTCTCTCTCTCTCTCTCTCTCTCTCTCTCTCTCTCTTTCTGTGTATCCTTTCATCTAATGTCACAACATAAGTATTACGTCTTCTTTGTACAAGCCCACGAAAAGTATTCTCATAAGCATACAGCGATTTTTCGCCAGAAGCTCCCAACCCTCGGTGTGATTATTTCCATTTCTAATGTGACATTTGTATTTATACCATTAACGAATCTACTTGAATATATACATAAATTTATTTTATAAATGTCGATTTTGATGATATATTGATGAAAAAATTACTCTGCTTCAATGAAGCACAATATAAACAATTAAACTTACTATAGTTTACATTAAAATCTCTTGTATTTATAAACAGATTATAAAACAAAAAAAGGAATGTTTATTTGCAGCAAGATCAAGATAATTCCTTTCATTATTATACCGATGATACGAATACTAGATTAAATAATATTGTCGAAGAGTTTATTAATCAAACGTAAATTTAACAACTAAATTTTACCATTCAATAAAACAATATAATGCGAGTATTTCTAAAATATAATAATAGCAGAACGTATTAACATTAATTAATTGAACATTAATTAATAGAACACATTAAATAGTCGTGATCCGTTTAATAATGAAATGTTGTACATCAACATTTTCATAATTTGAAAAATAGGCAAATATTTTTTAAACGGCGCAACCACATTTTTAACCATTTATTCATAGTAATATGAAGAAAAAAAATAATAATAATAAAAAAAAAAAAAAAATAAATAAATAAAAGAAATAAAAAAAAAAAATAATATTAAAAAATAAAATTTCATATAATGATTATTTAACAAAATGTGGGTAAGCAAATTACGAATTTTATTCAAATTACGGCACGAGCTATTTAGTCATATTTCAATGAAATATCCAATCAACCAATTGCCAATAATCCGGAAAAATGTTGAAATTTGAAAAAATATACCAAAACACGTACGAATTCATTTCAGGGATGGTTTAATCGATCATAAAAATCAAACGATTCTGTGTTAGCTTTTAATGCTCATGATTTCTTACAGTAATATAAGTCGTTTTTTTTTCTTCTTCTTTTTTTTTGTTTTGTTTTTTATTATTTATTTATTATTTTTTTTTTATTAAATACTTATTGGTTATTTGTTTCATTGATTAGTAACGAGTAATTCTTCATTTTTACATAACAACAAATTTTTTTCTAATAAATCATCGTGCTTGCGACGAAAAGGAAAGCCGGAAATTCGGACGCTGTCCATCCCTGTCAAATACCATACAGACTTTACTTTAAGTAATATTCGCTCTAGTATTGTGGGCCCGGCCGTACGTTTATCAGACACTCTGTTCATAAATCACGAATTAAAAAATTTTATTATAATGCACAGTTGTCCCAAACCCATAATCACACGAATATTCGCCTCGCGAACTCCATCGACCATTGAGGTTCGCGCGATCGATTCTACAACAGCACGGCTACATTGGCTCATCTTATGAGCGCCCGTGATCAAAGCGCGTCTTTCTGCCTTCGGAAGTTCCGTCCGCAGTGAGCGAAGAGTATTGGCGTTGGCGACGACATTAGAGAGTTACATCAGCACCCCGCAACGAGATGCTTGAACGTCGCTGCTATTTCTTGTCGCATGGAACATTTTACTACAGCGTCATTTTCAGGAATGTGCACCTCTCTCAACCCCCCCCCCCCCCCCCCCCCCCCCCCCCCCCCCCCCCCCCCCCCCCCCCCCCCCCCCCCCCCCCCCCCCCCCCCCCCCCCCCCCCCCCCCCCCCCCCCCCCCCCCCCCCCCCCCCCCCCCCCCCCCCCCCCCCCCCCCCCCCCCCCCCCCCCCCCCCCCCCCCCCCCCCCCCCCCCCCCCCCCCCCCCCCCCCCCCCCCCCCCCCCCCCCCCCCCCCCCCCCCCCCCCCCCCCCCCCCCCCCCCCCCCCCCCCCCCCCCCCCCCCCCCCCCCCCCCCCCCCCCCCCCCCCCCCCCCCCCCCCCCCCCCCCCCCCCCCCCCCCCCCCCCCCCCCCCCCCCCCCCCCCCCCCCCCCCCCCCCCCCCCCCCCCCCCCCCCCCCCCCCCCCCCCCCCCCCCCCCCCCCCCCCCCCCCCCCCCCCCCCCCCCCCCCCCCCCCCCCCCCCCCCCCCCCCCCCCCCCCCCCCCCCCCCCCCCCCCCCCCCCCCCCCCCCCCCCCCCCCCCCCCCCCCCCCCCCCCCCCCCCCCCCCCCCCCCTCCTCCTCCTCCCCACCCCACACACACACATCCGACCCCCTATACCCTACCCTCTACCCCGTATCCGCATCCCCCTATCCCAACCCACCCTTACCTCCTCCAACCCGTCTCGACTCGTCACCACTCATCCGCTTCCTTATCTCTTCCAGCAGCTCAGTCCTATGACAAAGAGGCAACGAAAGACGAGCCCCTATAATTTACAAAGTGACAGGAGCGCGAGGGCTCCGCTGACATTTTAAAAATCCAGCTGACACCTCCGAACACCATGACCCGTGAAGCCCGTGACGTCCCTTTGAATCGCCTTACGAAAATCCTGCCAGCGTATGTCGCAGACGTAGCCGCGAAGAGTTTTCGACTCGAGGGTGAGGCGACAAGCGCGCGGTGCGCGGCCAAGGTTGGAAAAACGTCTCGGACGAGTTAAGTACGCGTCTCAAAGCGGCCGGCGAGATCTCGCCACTAGGAGGCCGAGCTGTACCAGCCGCTGCTGGCTGTTTTGTTGGAGGGGTGGTAGAGGTGGAAACCGGCCCCGGCCGCCGGATGGTGATAGAATTGCGGCTGTTCAGCGGCGAGGCTCGCTGTGGCATAGGCCGCGGCTGCGTCCAGGGCACTTGGATGCACGGCCGAGTAGACCTGGGGCTTCAGGGGCAGGGGCTGGGCTGGCTCGTACTGATGTCGCAGCACGGGGTCACCGTAAACCGCGGCTTCGTAACTGTTCACCGTGAGCTGCTGTTGCTGTTGCTGCTGCTGTTGCTGCTGTTGCTGTTGTTGTTGGTGCTGCTGCTGTTGCTGTTGCTGTTGCTGTTGCTGTTGGTGCTGTTGCTGTTTGTCGCGGGGTGAGACGGACGAGGGTGGCGTCATGGCCGAGTGGTAGTCGAGGGCATAGCCGGTGGCCGTCGACGTGTAGGACGAGACGAGGCTGGTAAAGGCATCGGCGCCGGAAACCTTTTGTCCGTGGGTCGCGAGGGCGAACTGATGCTCGCCGTAGGTCGAAGAGCCCTCGGAGCCCGGCGGTGTCGGCAATGGACCCGCCTGCGAGTTCTCGGCACCGGTGTAGTAGCCGCCCGCGGACGGGGCACGGCCCGTGGCACCGCTGCCCGACGTGATTCCGTGTACGTTCGCCCGAATGACGCTCTCGCGATTGGCGTAAAGCTGACGAAGGAGAGCCGAAGCAGGCAGACCGCCCGTCGACTGTTGAGGACTCAAATGCCCGAGGTGATGATGCGCTCCGATCCACTGTATCGTCGACTTTTGCTGCTGTTGCTTAAGCAGAGCGTCCGTGCTGAAGTCCGTGGGTTGATGGAGGGCAGGGGAGTCGGCCTTGGCGAGGACCGCCCCCGGTAGGTGCTTCGACATCGCTTGCTCTAGGTCCTTCACGGAGGCGCCCGATGCACCACCCGTCGCCGCTCCGTGGTGGACTTCGGTCAGATCCTCGGTCCGTCGTACCTGTCGCATGTCCGTCAATTTTCAATAAGCATCTCAAGTCGAGATCTCGTTAAGTTCATCGCGTCCGTTAAGGCCCCCTAAATGGGTCTTCATCAATTTCTTTCTAAAACTATCGACCCGTACGTCGACGCATTATTTCTAACGTTTCAGCGCTCGAGTGAAATCACGTGAAAACGTCGAATGAATCTTAATAATGGCGGGTCTAATTGTAACGGAATCGTAGCTCCACCAAGGCCGTCTCAAAATGCACGAGATAAAAGTAAGACGCGTAACTTGCTTACATTGATTAATAAACTGGTGGGCCGTTCGGCTTGGCTCACCTTCGGACTGCCGGTCCTCAAGAGCTGGTCGCTGGTTGGCACGGAGTGGCTGGACGAGGCTGGGCTGAGCGCTAGGCTTCGACCGTTGGCCGTTGCTGACTTCATCGTCGGCTCTTCGTCCTCCTCCTCGTCCCCAGAGCTGCTCTCGTCTTCGGGTGCGACCGCGAGCTTCCGCTTGGAGCCGCGCTGATTGAGTTTCGACGTCGTAGCTTGGGGATCTTGTTGTTGGAGCTGGGCAACGACGTTGTCGTGGTGTCGACCGCCCCGCCCTGGCACATCCGTCTCCGAGCCTCGCGTCTCGTCGCGATCCTCGGGTGGCGAGCGGTGCGGATGTTGCGGATGTTCCGGATGTTGATTCGTCGGGCCACCGCTATTTCGACCTTCTGGAAGGTAAAACATTCACAATCGCTGCATAAATAATGAGATTTTTCAAAATTTATCTTGATATCGGTATCATTCCTTTCGCGCAACTCGTCGTTTTTCATACATTTTTTTCAATTCGATCGGATTTTCACTGAATTTATCAGCCGCTCCATCGCAGGCTTGATGCACAATTAACGAATAAATAACTCATTGTTTTTGCATCGTGCATTTCAATTTACTCTTTGATGTTTCGTATAAACATACAAGTGTATACAATCATTTACAAATTATTCTTTACGAAGCTTTTCAAAATGATCGGTTTTTCGTGCAAAAAGGCTTCTAAATTATGCGATTCAATTTAATTTGAAATGTCATTATTTTAAATATATAATTCTTAAAATATAGAATTTCAGTGCGCATTATGAAAGCGGTGAAATCAAATAATTATTCGAACAAAAATTTTGAAAGCAATATTGAAATAGTCATAGAATTTGTAGTTATATTATATTTAGGCTTTTTATAAATAATTTGATATATTTTGCTCAAGTATCAGAACTTTTTTTATCCAATTATTGGTTAAGAAATTCAAGAGTTTTATTATAATTATAACTATCATCATTGTTTGAAATAAAATTTTCTCTCTCTCTCTCTCTCTCTCATCCCACTCTGTGCGTATGCGCGCGCGTATGTAAAGTTATAAAAAGTACTGATCCTCGATTATTATAAAAATAAGTTTCAGTATCAAGAGCTGTTTCTGGTAATTAATTAAATAAGGATACTTATAAGGTACTTATATGTGATTGAATATACACACACAGAGAGAGAGAGAGAGAGAGAGAGAGAGAGAGAGAGAGATAGAGAGAGAGAGAGAAAGCCATAAAGACATAAACAATAATCATAACTAGGGGTACTCAGTCATTTTCGATTTGTCTTCAATTCTACCATAATAAATACACATATAAATGTTAAATAATAAATTTCAAATATTAATGTGCTTTTGATGCTGTTATGTCCTATATTAAGATTTTCTCTAGCCAAGGCTACTGCTTAAATTATAAAACTAGAAAAGTGAGCGCAATGTAAATCGATACAACTCGCTCTTTGAGTCAGCGGCCGTCTTCATATGGTAATTCTCGACAAAGGAGTGGGGCGACATTACCGCGGCGGCTTTTCATTGCCCTCTGGACATTACCGACTCGTTGTCTCTGTTTGTCTGTCTGTCTGTCTGTCTCTCTGTGTCTCTCTGTGTCTCTCTGTGTGTCTTTTTATCGTGACATTGCGCGTGGACACGATGGAATTCGATGTTTGTCGTACGGCTTGAGAACTTGGACGCCCTTGCGGCTGCTATTCAAGCGTCGCGACGCATCCGCTGCCATCTCGGAAACACTAGCTCGATTTTTCATCCGTCACCCATTGTCATTCGCTTCATCCCGTATTTGTCTCCTTTACATGCTTGAACGTGGGTGAAACAGTCTTTTGAAAAGTATAAATGTATTTCAAGAGCTCTTGCGACGTCGGTTGTATGAAGAATTTTATGAGTAAAAATTTTTATCGGGAATAAGTGTATCGCAAAAGTAGACTGTCCTCAATAATTATAACACTGATTCTACAAATTCAATTCATCATTTATCCCTATATATGTGTGTGTGTGTGTGTGTGCGTGCGTGTGTGTAATTATATATTAAACATTAATAATTTAAATAGAAATTTGTTGACCTACAGATTGTTAGTAGTAGAATAGTTCAAATTTACTGGTATATCTTCGAAACTATTAAAGTTTTCTTTTTACGTCGCACGTTCTGTGATTTTTTATTTTTTACCGTTTTTGAACTATCTATTAAAGATAAATACCACGAACTTGGTTCTACATTCTAAAAGAATTACCGAGGTTTTAACATTGTTGGAATAGAAATCATTCCAAATAGGTCGCTCGCTGTTTAAATGTAGCTTAATGTCGAACTGGAAAGCAATGATTAAGCACTACGTTCGATCAAAGCTACTTTTCACGCATTGTAGTAGGAAGAAATATCGTCGAGCAATTTATCAAAGCAAAAGAAGATCGAGAACTGTAAAGTTATTACGTGTGTCGAGCGTATGTAATGACCAAAATCACAATTATCCCTTTATTAAATCTTGGTAAATCTCTTCAACTTTTACATTCCCAGTAGTTTCAAACTATACATATGATCTTTCGGCAGTATTGATCCGTGAATTTTTCTTATAAAATCGCGTATTGTGTAATTTCGTTTATAATATTTATAAAAACACATTGTCGAAGCGGATGTGGATTCAATATTAAATTTTAGACATTATTTATTCTGCGTTTGCGCTCATATCAAGTGCTGGACAAATTATCGCAAGTTTGCACAACTTGCAATAAAACGCAATTGTCAAAAGTAGCTATTTCATGAAAAGAAAAAAGCCGACAAAAAGTCTTAAGTTTAGAAAAATAATTTATATGAACAATTAATAAAGGGATGTTGTCATTTAGTTATCTCGACACACCTATTCGCAATTATTGGCAATCGCGAGTTTGGCTCGCGAGACTGGCTAATATGTAAAGCTCAAAATTATAAATAATAATGATAATAATGTCATCTCACCTCCTCTATCGGCGTCGGGCGAACCATTTTCGGGATCGTTGCCCGCGGCGTCTTCACGCTTGACGCCTGTAACGCCATCCTCGAGTTGGCAACAATCCATGATCAAGTTGGCGTACTCGCGACCACTGAAACCATTTCAATAATAGTATATCCTATTAGTAATATATAATATTGCTTATGAGTTTGTTGCGAGATTGCCCTGCGCTGCAGCCTCCATAATCGTTTATTAATGAACGAATTCTCATGGGATCTTGTATGGAATCTTGGATATATCAACAATTATCGTTGGGCTGCATAAGCGATAATGAACTTGATAATGAATACAAATATAGATTTCGTAATCTCGATAATTGGTATTATTTTAGATATAATTTGTGAATACGAAGTATGAGTTTTTCCAAAGTATCAAGTTAACTTCACATCCCGCGCATAATCAGAAAATTACAAAGAGGAACAAGAGACGGCTTTATAATATCATACATTCATTATACATTAAATATCCTCAAAAGAATTATCGTGTCTTATATCTCAAGTTGATTTGTACAAACATGCACGAAATGCCATTGATTAATAATTACTCGTATTAATAATTATTGATTATTAATAATTACAGACCTAATAACGTAGTTGACGCAAATAATATTCTGTTCTTCGGCATTTTTAGTGTTGCATACGACTGTCGCGCAGGTCTGCAACCACGTGTAACCACCACTTTTATTCATCAGTCGGTAATAATGCGTTAGTACTTGTCCCTTATGGATCACTGAAATAAACAAAAAGAATATTTATATGCACTTTCAGAATGTCACACGCTTTATATAAAAATATACAGAGAGCTCGTAAATATTTGTTCCTCTTCAATAATTGATATTCATAATTATCGTGCTTTTTTAAACAATACATAAGAAAAACAAATGCAAAAACAAAAGAAAATGAAAGATAAAATAATAAAAAATAAATCTCTCACGCCTGTCCGATTAAGTCAACACGCTTCGATTCGGTTTCTGTAATTAAAGGGTAATGTGATGGCGTTGGTCGCTAGCTCACGATACGCATTACTTGTTACGAGAATGCTTTGAAGGAACCGTTGTACCATTTATAATGTTTGCGCACAAATAAAAAATGCTTCCACAAAGCATTTCGAAGTAAATCGAGCTTTGCGTGACAGATCTAATGCGCATTTATCATTGTTAAAAACGAGAAAATATCCATCGGCTAGGAAATAGAAAGAAGCCCTGCTAAAGTAGTGGCTTGATTATCTAGGGGTTAATAAAAAAAAAAAAAGAGAGAAAAAAAAATTAAAAGAGAGATATAAATGTTCCACGAGGAAATGATAGTGGACCGCCAAGCATGGAGTCCATTGGAACCGAAGCGAACGAGATCGATGAGGATAAGCCGGGAGCTGAAGCGATCGAAGAAAGAGGAGATGAGTAGCGTAAAGTTTCAGTGTGGCGGAAGGAGAGCTAGGAGAGCGAGAAGAGCGAGGAGAGTGTGTGGCCGATCGGTCGCCCTGGTGGTACACGGTGATAGAGAGGGCGGAAGAGGACGAGGCAAATATGAAGAAAGGAGTGGAACGCGGAGGGATTGGTGCGGAGGGACGTTAAAGGGATGAGAAATTCGATACCTCTGGAGGACCCACCTTCTTTACCCCCACCACTTATCAGTCGACGCACCACAGGCATAAGCTGAGCCGCCTTCGACATTTGACTGCAATGGCTCGCCCGACTCTTTTTACTGTCCCGAGGCTAAAGCGCTTGATAAGTTGCGTCTCTCAAAAATTTTAGATAGTTGTCGGTGAATAAAGAACATATTAATTTTGCCGAGGTGTTTTATCTTCTTCTAATATCTCTTGTAACGAGGTAGAACATATAAATAGGTCGTGCGGAGAAATCGATCGCTTGCTTTGTAGTAAAATAGGAGAGTCCATTTCATTTGGAATTGCTCCTTTTGAATGAGGCTCTGATTAATTTAAAAATGCTTTAAAATACACACACGCGCGCACAAACAAACAAACAAACAAACAAACAAACAAACAAAAACAAAAACAGAAAAAACAAACAAACAAACAAACAAAAACAAAAACAGAAAAAACAAACAAACAAACAAACAAAAACAAAAACAGAAAAAACAATAACAAAAACAAAAAAACAAAAAAAAATGAAATTAAAAAAAAATGGTGGTGGTGGGGGGGGGGGAATACCAAAAATATTCCGTTGGCGAATAATAAATATGCGCGATCGAGTCATTATTCAAGAATAATTTATTTCATTTCAACTTTACATTTACTTTTTAAATAAATTTCGCGTTAGTCGTGCTGTTTCAATGTGAGTCGCGATATTCGTTGTATGTAAATATTTCGCAAAAGGACAATTTCATTTAATTCTTGTAGAATGGATTATTCACTATATCAAGAAATACATTCAAGGCAGAGGTCAGCCAAAGCATTCGTACTGAATTCAAATTAGGCACAAAAATCTAATAATGTTTTAACTTCACTACAAAACACATAAAACGTAAGTCTGCTTTCACGTTCCTTGAATTATACTTGAATTCATAATTATTTATCGTCTATTTATCATTGACTATTATACTTCATCTATCTATAAGTTTATCTATTTCGGCTCGTTAATTGAGTGATTTTTTTTTTTCATTTGCAATATTGTATCTAAATATTCAGGTGAATTTCTTTCTTTTTTTTTCCCCTGCAATAAATAGAATTTATTAATGATAATGCTCTGATAACATTGAAAAATTATTTGAAGTTCATAATTCACAGCATTCAAGGATTGCAAAGCATTGATTTTACTTCATTAGTCATATACATGTTCACTTAATATTTCCGTTAAAAAGAAAAAAAAAATATTATCATTCGGTAGACAAATATTATCCATTCGGATGGTTATATTGTAATTCTATTAGTTTCAAAGCCTCCATTGCACACAGCAACGATCAGTACTTAAAATCATTGGATTGTCCCAATGAAGTCACAATCATCGTGAAACAAAAGAACATACGCATTGAATAATTAGAAAAATTTATATATATATATATATATATATATATATATATATCAATCATTAACAAGAATTTTGTTCGTTAGATGTAATTAGTTAATAGACGAAGTAGAGCGCATCACATCTATTACTTGCTTACCCTTATAAAGTCCATAAAATTACGAGGCTCCATACACGAATAGGAGGATTAGCACTGATCTAACAAATTGGTGCATAGCCTTGATAAAAATTCATCAAACTTCCTAAAACAATGACTGCTTGATAATGACAGGAACGCATCAGCGTATCAAGTCATATTTAGCGGCGTCAGTGAGCAACTGCTTGGGCCATTCGCCATTAAGCAGCCATTGCCAGTGAAATATGAAAGACTTTCACTGAGGATAGGCGCTAGCTTATCCAGCCAGTCAGCTTTCCCTGCCCCTCTTGCCGCGATACGCGGCCCTCGCCATCCCTCCGGCCGCGTTCATTTCGCGCCGCTCGGCACGTCGGCGAAAGTGCAGCGGTGGGGAGGGGATTGGGGATTGGGGATTGGGGATTGGGGATTG